TCAATTCAATTCAATTCAATTCGTGCTTTATTGGCATGACAATTGTTACAATGTATTGCCAAAGCATAGTGTTTACACTGAATCTAGAACACATATATATGCAACAAAAACATGTATGTATATTCATTTAAAAAAAAAAAAAAAAAAAAAAAAAAAAAAAAAAAAAAAAAAATTTTAAAAATAAAAAACCGGGGTTTTTGTAAAAAAAAAAAAAAAAAAAAAAATTGGCAAACATCATTCTGGTAATTATAAGCCCTGGCAATATATTGGTATACACATATATATATATATATATATATATATATATAGTGTTTGTTCTGAATGTTTTTCCTGTGGACATGTCTAAAGCATATTTTAACTTATTTTACCTTAAGTTAATTTTTTGTTCCTCCTGTGATCAGAACCAGTTTGAGTATCAAGATGGAAGCTTGTGCCCTGAAGAGGTGATAGGATCCCGACCCCATGAGGCAGTTGCTACAGGAAGTGGCCCCTCTGTCCCGGCAGGTATACAAAGATCAGGTCTGGACCCAGCAGATGAGCAGCACTGCAATGGAAGCTTAAAGAAACAGCCCACAGTTCACTCAGTAGAGGACAGCAGTGGACAGCGTTACAGTGCAGACCCAACTGTCCTACTGGGAGAGAAAGGACAGAGGGAAGATACAGATGAGGATGGTTATATGTCCCCTATGAAGGACAAGATCTCCACAAGTATGTTCTCAAATATTTATTATAGAATTTGTGAATAGGACCGTTATTATTAGATCGTTTACTCACCCTTGTGTCGTTCCAAACCTGTTTGACTTTTTTTTTTATCTGTGAAATTTAGAACAAGACATTTTGAAGAATGTACCGGTCATTTTTTATGCAATTACGATGAATAGGGACCAAAGTTTTTAGTATTAATTAAGTATTTTTAATGAAGCAATTCGTTTTTTTCTTTAAATTTTTTTTGTTTGTTTTGTTGCTGTCTAGGCCTTACTGCTACTTTAATTGTATCAAAGAACGAACCCGTTCAGAAGATGTGCAGCGCTTAAGTTGTATGAACCAGGTTTATGATTCATAATTATTTTTTTATGATTTGTATGGGTTTCAGAGTGCTTTTTTGTTTTTGGAGCTGGATAGCCCAGGTCCTCAATCACTTTCATTATATTTAAGAAAATTGACCAAGACATCATTACACATTTGCTGCCTTATGTTTCACCAAAGAAAGAAACTACAGTAAAAAGTCATAATATGACATGAGGGGGAGTAAAGTATAACTACAATGTTTTATCCATGTCATTGTCTATCTTCTTTGCAGATCATCTGAACCCTGTTGAGGAGAATCCTTTTGTAACAAGGCGTAAAAATAAAGACATTCATGCGCTAGACAACTTGGGTTACCACAGCGCCCCTGATGGGAAGCCCAATTGTGAAGACGAGTATATCAACGAGCCCCTTTACCTCAACACATTCAACAACCCCAGCGGCATGAACCAGGAGATGTTAAGGAAAAATGGAGTCTCCATCCCATTGCAGATGACCACAGCAGCCCACACTCAAAGCACACATGTTCCCCACATCACACAATTGGGAAAACCCCATCATCACAGCCATGGACCGCACGTTCATTTCGCCATACCGCCAGTTCAGCCGGTACACCCTGGACCGATGAGCCAAAATGATCAAAATGCCCATTCAATTCAGTTGGTTCATGATCATGGCAGCAAATCTGTTCCACCAGCAGGCCAGATCTGTCTAGTGAGCTATCAAGTCCAACCAGGGCACCCAAACAAATCTAATCATTCTCCCCAACAGTTTCACTTGGCAAAGTCTGGTAAAGGTGGCACAATGGGCCTACCGGGTCATCCGGTGCAACCGGGCACCCAGATTGGGACCGCATTAGTGGACAAGATGTACAAGAATAGCTTTGACAATCCTGAGTATTGGCAGCAAAGCCTTCCGCCCAAGGTCACCCCTCAAAACTCCCAAGACTCTTCGGTGATCTGCAATAACAAGTTCCTTTACAAGCAGAATGGCCACATACAGCCTGCCGTGGCTGAAAACCCTGAATATCTGTCTGGTTTGAAGCCAGGAACAGTCCTGCCTCCTCCTCCATACCGGCAGAGGAACACTGTGGTCTAACGTCCAGGTCTCCATGCTCCGTAGAGCCTGGTTCTTCTACCAGCACCTTAAATGTCTTTCCTTGACCCTCTGGTGGTCAAAAATGGGACGAGAAATAATATAAGCCACTGAACTGACATTATGTCACATAAAATATGGCATAAAAACCATTGGGGAAAGCTCAAAGCAACCCATCCATCCACAAAGACCTCACCAGTTGTCCAGGAACTTTTTTTTTCTCCTCCACAGGTATTTTAAAGTCTCTCATATGGGATGGCACATAATCAGATGTACTAACATCATTAATTTATTGAAATTAGATATTAAGTACACTCTAAAAAATAAAAATTCCAAAGTTTCACAGCAATGCCATTGGACTTGGGTGTCCAGTTCTGCTCCTTGAGGGCCAATATCTTGCTGAGTTTAGCTCCAACTAGCTCCAACACACTTGCCTGGAAGTTTCTAGTGAGTCTAAAGACCTTGATTACTTTGGTTCAGGTGTGTTTAATTAGGGTTGGAGCTACAATCCTGTAGAACAGTGGCCCTCCAGGAAGTTTTGAACGTCCCTACTATAGAAGAACCATTCTGGGTTCCCCAGAGAACCTTTCAGTGAACAGTTCTTAAAATAACCATTTTTCCTTAGTGAAAATTTTTTTTCCACTGTAAAGAACATTTTGTGCAATGGAAAGATTCAGTGGATGTTACAGGCTCTTCTTGGAACCATAGATGCCAATAAAGGATTTTTTATTAGTATTGTTTATATTTAAGAGTGTACAGTAGGTGGTTCCAGCTGGGTGGTCCAATAATGAAAAAAATGATTCTGAATGGACAGAGAAGTGTATTTTAAAGATTCTAGGCGTGAATATGCACTTGAATTTTATATTTCTGTGACTGGAACACTTGCACTTTTTCAGCACATCATACATACCGCTAAAACTGCTGCCCTACTGGGACGACTACTGTTAGACCTGAGAGGATTGTGAAATTATGGACAGTCGAGTTCCTCAGCACAATGAGTTGAATAGGAGGCTGATAAAGGCACTGCAAATCATTTGTTCATATTGGGAATACAATAGAATAATTGTCAATGGGGTTATTGCCATTTGGTGAGTGGTGAACTCACCTGTTGAGAGATATGAAGAATTAATTATCAGGAAGAATGGCACTGAATGGTTTACAGGGTGTTTACATTAATTTACTTTATCGGTACCTGAACTGAGTAAGCACTGACAAAGGGTGTCTGGGAACTTTAATTCTCCTTTGTCAGAGTTTAAAACTGTTACTTTTCAGTTCTTAGTTTAAAAGACTTAACTTGAGTTAGTCAATATGCTATCAAAAGTTGAAGTTAGTCAACATGAAATCAACCCTTTTTACTCTCTTAATGTTCCTGTTATTCCACTTTGTTAACACCCATGTTTTATAATTGTTCATCATAATGTGTAACTCGTTCCGTTCCAATGAATTTTTCTTTTTGGCTGACATCAAAATTATTTAACCAGCAGACAACTAGCTACTGCTGCATTGTTGAAGCTACTGTTGCAGATATTACAGCCTTTCTAAATTTATTTTCATTGTTAATGCAATAATTTAAAGTTAGCTAATAGTAATGTGATAACGTTTCGGCAATAAAAGCAAATAAAGATCGATTTGAACATGTACGTATTTCCCTACTGAACTTGACCTTCAGTCTCCAAGTCCCAGTCAAAAATCCTTGTCAGAAGTAGGTTTAAGTGGATTTTTATAAGATTCACGGTTGACAAACTTGCATTCAGGGCATGTTATGCCAATTTTCACAATCTAGTCATTTCCTGGCTGATAAAATCAATTCTGAATATTCTGCTTAGCATCACAGTTAAAAGTAAATTGGGTTCTGAAAGCAGTTTCATGTTGATTTTCAATCATAAATTTTCAGTGTTTTGTAGATGATATTTTGCCTCGGTATTCGTTTTTACGTCTAGACTGCGTTCTGATTCCAACTGAAGTTAGCAAATCAAATAAATGCATTTCATTTTAATCTGCTGGTTAACATAATCACTAGTAATTTGGATTGCAATTCAGAGTGTCAATACTGAGCCTTTGTCAGATCTGTAGTTGGAAAACGAAATTTGGGCACAGCATTTATTTTGTTGTCATTACTATTTATTCACAGTGGCTGCTATACATTTTTATTTGGGGCATTTCATTGTATTTCATAACAAATTTTCTAGTTAAAACAGCAGGTTTACTTGAATTAAGGAGGTTTAACATGTGATGCTGTGTTAAGTATCACAATTTCACATGACTGAGCTGTATTTTGAAAAATTGTAAACACAAAAAGACTTTAATGTGCCATTCTTCAGCGCTAACATAATCCAGAAAACAGACGTTAGTCTGTATCACTGTCAGTGGTCTAAAATCATTGTTGTTGTTGTCTGTCTATGTTGTCACATCTAATAGCAAGTGTAGCACACATACAGTAAGTGTTGCCCTGTAGTTTCCGAACTACTGTCACTTGTAGTTTCATGTTTCTGTGTAGCTTTTACTGATGTATTGTCAGAAGACTAGTTTGTAGGTCATAATCCCATTTTGGTGACGTTTTGTCCAATTTGTGGCATATAAACACAAAGACATTATTGTTACAATTAATTAAATAAGGGATATTGTGTTGCAACAAGATGCGTGAACATTTTAATTGTCTTTAACTGCCAAATATCACAAAGTCTAATGTTGAGGCATCATTATGAACCTTTGATTTACAAATGGCATTTTTGGTAAGAATTAAGCTGTTTTAGTATAGATTATTGGCCAGTGTGATCTCAGTGTTAGATGAAGGTATCCGTACATGTGTGCATGTGTACATATTTGTACATTTAGATTCAAGTTAAGAGCATTATAAAGTTTAAACCCTTTTACACGTGTAACTTTAAAGATCAATCTTAAAATCTGTGATATAATTTTTTTTAATTCTCTAAAATGTATATGTACACTACCATTTAAAAATGTGGGGTCATTTTTTGTGCTTTATGCTCACCAAGGCTGCATTTATTAGATAAAAGCAATACAGTCAAAATATTTACAAATAAATAAATACGGTGAAATAATATTAGAATTAAATATATTTTAAAATGTAATTTATTCTTGTGATGGCAAAGTTGAATATTTAGCATCGTTACTCCAGTCTTAAGTGTCACATGATCCTTCAGAAATATTTTGATATGCTGATTTGGTGCTCAGGAAACATTTGTTCTTGTCAATGTTGAAAACAGTTGTGCTGCTTAATATGTTTGTGGAAACCATGATAGATGGATTTGTTAATGAATATCAAATACAAAAGAACAACATTTATTTGAAACAAATCTTCTGTAACTATTTAAATGTTACTATTTCACTGAAACTTTTGATCAATTTAATGTGTCCTTGTTGAATAAAAAGAAAAGCAAAATGCCCCCAAATTTTTGAACGGTAGTGTAAAAGGGTTTGCAGTTTATATTTTCTCAATACATTGATAAGTGAACCACACTTTACATATTAAACAATGCCTATATGAATACTAATGAGATCATGTTGAACTGGCTGAAATTCTTTAAATGAACCATATTTCATAATTTTACTTCAATCATTAACTTGACATGTAAACTGATGCATGTGGAACCACTGCAGGGAAGCATCTTTTTACACAAATTTAGCATTTTTATGGACTGCCGAGAATCAGAGTGTAAGATTCACACAATTTACAGTAACTCAGTATTCACTATCTACCAAACTGTATATGTACACACCATGTAGTGCGAAGTACAGAATTGTGTACACACTTACAAACATACAACATTTTGTGTGCAGTAAAATGCACTGTATTCCTGAGCCACGAAAGTACAGGCATTTGGAGTGACTGCTCTGTAACAAGTGTGTTCCTCTAAAGAAAAGTGAAAAGTATTTTTGTAGAGTGTTGAAAGATTTATGGGGAGTGTAAATATATAGAGACTGTTGCATCAAGACTTGTTTTAGTCATTTCTTTGCCATGAAACGTTCAGTTCTGTTTAACATGCGCCATCTGTAGTAATGGTCTGACATTGTGTCAGTAACTTTGTATTTGTGACGTTTGATTTGATCTCAAGTGATGTTCTGTTTTCCTCGGGCGTGTTTCTTTGTGTGTCATGCTCTGTTCTGTGGATTTCTTCTCTTGCTGCTTTTATGGTTAGCTGTGGCCCTTTCCTTCTCTCCATAAGTGCCCATTTTCTCTATTTCTTTACCTTTGTTAGTTGTAAATATGACTGTTTAAGACACGACATTAATTATCTACTCCTGTCGACCTAATTTTAAAACAAAATACTGATCTATCTAGAGTGAACTATCTTTATTTATTATATATTTGTTTTGTATGTCTGCATTTGGTTTGATTGCTTTTTATTAGATATGATCCTATGTACATGGTGAGTTAGGAGAGAACTGCTCCACTGAAGCACTTGTGGTATAATCTGTTTAAAATCACTGGGTGGACAGTGCATTATTACTGATGGTGGTATGTGCAAAGCTAACTAGAACTATGTAAAATAATTTACAGCAGCCTAAAAAAGTATTCGGACACTTAAAGGGATATTTCACCCAAAAAAAAAATTTCTGTCGTTAATTGCTAACTCTCATGTCGTTCCAAACCCGCAAGAATTTCGTTCAACAACATGAGGGTGAATAATTAATGACAGACTTTTCATTTTTTGGTGAGCTATCCCTTTTAAGCAGCACTATGTAACTTTTGGCGCTCTTGCGGTTAATAAACAGAACTGCACACATCCCGCGGAAGAACATTCCAACCCGAGCTACTTCTCTAAGTTTATGTCTATGGCGATTCACGCAGGTACAGTATGTGTTACTCCGCAGAGGTGACGACCCGACCAGGCTACAATAGTCCAAATACAAGTACTTATTATAAGTGTACCGTAGTGATTCGGATTCGGAATAAGACAAAAACGCGGTTTGGAAGATGAATTCATGATGTACTCGCTAATTATATACATTTTGCAAATTTTGAATAGAAAATGTTACATAGTGCTGCTTAAGTCACACTTATTTTCGGTGCATTTTATAACGAAATATTAAACCAAGTGGCTTTTGCAATCATACTAGAACTTTCTCAGAATCAACATTTTTGCTTTTTTTTTTAGTGAATGTATGAAGTCAGTTCCTGTCAGTTTCCAACTGGAAAGTGTCAAAATGCTTTTTTAAATATTTTGAGCAGTGTATTGCTTCATAATTTAAAACCTAACAGACTTATTTTTGTGAAATATTTTCTTTGAATGCCATTTGGTTTGATATCATGTTATTTATCACAGTGATATTCAGACGTAAGTGTGGCCAATTTATCTTTGGGCCACTGTGTTTTAGAGCTTTGCCAGTTGAGTAGATTATTTTATTGTATTTTCTATTATAACATAAAAACACCCGAGACAAAACTCATTA